TCATCTACATCTGTCTGTTATCTGTAATTTGTCTTATTTCTCATCTGTCAGTTTGCTTATACATCCACTCATCTTTTCATCCATTCAACCATGATCTAGCTTCATCATTATCCATTTATTTTATGTATCTTCTTCTGCCTGTCATCTCCCTTCTTCTTCACTGTAGTCCATTTGTCTATTATCTACCACCATGTCATGCATCTAACATATTCTTATATCCACTTCTTTCTATCTATCTACCTATTATTTGTCATCTATCTTATCCTTATCATATGTTTATATCTGTCTCCATGTATTTAGCATCTGTTTATCCATCCATCATGTGGGAAGCCAGATAGCAGTCCTAATGTGGAGTTGGTAGAGCTCCTGACATGAGGGTGACTTAGTTTTGTGTTTATCAGTACAGCAGAGAGAAGTTAGCATTAAAGCCATAGGAATCGTAGCCTTGTAATAATTTTAAACATTTGCAAAATATTTTAGCATATATTTGTTATATAATAATGGGTTCCATTAAAACATTTTCATGTGTATTTTGTATATTTTTATCAGATTCCCTCTCCATTACCCTGTCTTGTCCCCCTCCCATTCCCACCGATCCTCCTCTTCTTCTCACTAGAACCCTCTGCTTTCATGTTGTGTTTTGGTTCTATAACAAATGAATCAAACTCCAGTTACTTATAAGAGGAGTGATGGATATTTATGGGGCACGGGCAACTTCCCAGTGCCTGCACCATTGAAGAAAGTGCCTCTCCTCTCCCAGCAACCAGCAACTGCCTATAAATCCTTAGGAAGGGGTGGGCCCCATGAGCACCTCCCACTCCATGAACAAGTGTTGGTGGACCTAACTCTCATGTGGGTCATGTGCAAGTGATCACAGTGGCTGAGCGTTCAAGAGCATAAAGGTTGTGTCCTTCCCAGAAGACAGCATGCCAGGACCTCTGCCCCATCTCTGGCTCTTAGACCCTCTGCCTCCTCATTTTCTACAGTATTACCTCCACCTTGGAGGGGGTGATACAGACGTTCCATGTAGGGCTGAGCTTTTGACACTCACCGATTCTTAACACTTTAGGTCAGTTATGAGTCTCCACAGTGATGTGTTTTCCCAGTAATAATGGACAGAAGCAAAACTTTGTTTAGCTCTGGTGTGCATATCAATAATGATGCGTGCACGTGATTTGTGATACAGACATTGGCAGAATGCCAGATAATGTCTTTCTGAGAAGCATGACTAAAGTGCCGTTTGTTATTGTAGCATTCTCTATTATTTAACCATACAGAAGACACAATACATGTATTGACCTTTCTCATACCATAGAGTAGGATTTTTGTTGCAATGAAAATCAATAGCAAAAATGATCTCTTTCTTGAACTTCCATTCACATACATTGTATGTAATTAGATAAATTCTTGGAGTGAATTAGTCATCAATTTCATAGAGCTAATTTCTCGCTTCATATTGAAATTTACTGGAAAAAAAAATAAAACTAGCTATTGGACACCTGCTACTGCCAGTCAGAGACTTACTAAGTACTGCCTAGGTACTGAGACTGTAGGGCACGAAATCCCTGATTTCTGGGTACTTACACTCCTGTGGGGGTGGACAGCAAATATATAAACCATAAATATACTAATAAACAATACTAAATGACTAGTATGATCAGAGAGGGGGCTGCACATGGTGAGGGAAAAGTGCAGTTGTTGAGATGTTCATGGGAGGCCTCTACATAAAGGGACGTTTGGAGTGAAGGGCAGGCTATAAGGGTATCCTGAGTGTGTTCCCCGTATTCCATTCCTGTCACACCCCTGAGATCATCAACTTATTTAAAGAAAATGCTATTTGGACTCAGAGTTGCAGGAGCTCCAGTCACAATTCACTGGTCCAGTTGCTTTTGGGTCCGTGGTGAGGTAACCCATTGGGGTGGCGAGTGTATACTGGACCCAAGCTGCTCCCCTCAAGGCCTGGAATTGATAAAGAGAAAGAAGACAGGGCTACAGTTCCACACCCCTCCCTTCAAGGATATATATCCCCAGTGACTTAAAGGTTTCCCTACCTCACAGTACCATCTCGTGCTGGCAACCAAGCCTTTGAGACCCTTCCAGATCCGACCTATAGCAAGAAAGATGAACAGCCGTTAAGAGGGCTTTCAACAGCCTCAGGCTTACAGGCTCACAGAGCTTGGTGGCAACTGTGGGGGAGAATGGTCCAGGTAAATGGCAGTGCCCCATGTACAAATGAAGAAAGTCAGTTAAGCATCTTGACCAAAGACTTGTAGCATCTAAGGAATGGGACTATGATTCGATCCTAGATATGTCCAATCAGAATGGTCATTGCTTCTCTGCCAGAATGAACACTGGAGGAACTTGCTGATGAGTGTGTGCTCCCTACATAATGAATTCCAAGGCATACAAGGAGCCATTGCTTTTTGTGTGAATTTCCAACCTAAGCTGCCCAGTTGTCTCTCATTTATTGAGTTATACTGTATAATGATTTACACCTATGACCCCTTCACCTGAGCACAGTCTACATGTTACTCTCTGGTCGCTGATGGAGAGCATGTTGAGTTGTATTCTGATAGGATGCAAGGCAAGGCATTCAATCTAACTTTGCCTAGTGATAGTAGCTGTCTACTTAACTTCTTTATATGAAACAACCATAAGATCTTAAGGCAGCTCAGAGACAGCAAACTGTGTATATCACAATTCCAACATCTCATTGAGACTTTGTTGAATTTGAAGACAAATGAGATGGTATTGGAAAAAAAATATGTGGGAAAAAAGCCAATATTGGTATTTTTTTTTCCAGATTTAATTGCTGTATGTGTCCAAGCTGAATTGAACTCTGGAAGGCATGTTCTAATTCAGTCACAAAATGCATTTCGACATGCAGCAAATGACAGTGTAGCTCTGGGTTTTCTCAGCTCATCACAACAAAAAGAAACCATTGAAATTTTATTGTCATACATTACTGTGGCCAGTTCCAATTAGATTTATTCTTAAACTTGGTTTCTTAAATTGTACTCGTGTAAACAGAGAGATCAGATGGTTAGTTTAACATAGAAAACATGAATGGGCCCAAACTGCCCATGCTGCTTTGCTTATCCTTCTTCTCACGCCTCTTGTTGTGGGTAGTCGGAGCTCTTGGAATGTAGCACGGTGTTACCTAGGCCAAACTCAGTTACCCACTGATAACACAGTGTAAATTTTTTCTCTTTTTTTTTGCATATAAGTGGCCATTTGTGTGTATTCACGTGTGTATGGGTTCATATATATATGGGGGGGGGGGAAGGCACTTTGAAATAACTCATTTCAATAAATATTTGAAACTTTTTTTTTTTTTTTTTTTTTGAGACAGTGTCTCCTTTTAAACCTTGGCTAGACTGCCTAGCAAGCAAGTCCTGGGGCCTACCTGTCTTTGCCGCCCCAGTGCTGGGATTATAGGTGCATACCACCACACCTGACTTTTTATGCACGTGCTGGGTCTTGAACTTGAGTCCCTATATTTGTGTGGAAAGTACTTTATCAATTCAGGCACCTTCCCCATCCTCCATATATAAACTATAAGACCAATCCCTTTTGTAATATGAGAAAGCTGTTTTCAGAAGTCTATCAGGTATATTCACCAGGCCAACATGTCCCTAAGCCTGCTTCCATCTCCTTCCTACCCATATTGACTAAATTCCACTCAAAACAGACACAGTGGCAGAGCAGGAGCCCATCTCGGAAAACTTTTCTCCCTCTTTCAATTGTATTTCGCTGCCGCACACAGAGTATCAGTCTGTTGGAACTCTTCACAGCTTTTCTGGACTTGAGGAGCAGGCACCATGTGCTTCTCCTTCCTGTCTATGTCCCTGGCACCCCATGGAGCTTCCACAGATGGTCATTTCATGGAACCTGACTCTGTTTCCCAGCTTTATAGCTTCACATTCCGAGTAACAGCAGCTTGGAGTGTGGCAGAGCTTGTGAATGTTAAGAGCTAACCCTGGCTGTGGCAGCACACTCCTGCGATCCTAGTACTTGGGAGGTAGAGGCAGGAGGACCAGGTGTTTCAGACCAGCCTTGCTTACACGAGACTGTCCAAACACCCACAAAAAAAGTAGCAAACAAAGGCCAAGGGTGGTGGCACCTACCGTTAATCCCAGAACTCTGAAGGCAGAGCCAGGGGGAATCTCGGTGAGATTGAGACCAACTTGGTCTACATAGTTCCAGGCCAGCTGGAGGCCCGGAGGCCCTGTCTCAAAAAACAAAACAAAAGAACAGTGACAAAACCCCCAAACACAAAAAGATTTATTAATCATGGTTTGATTACTGAAAGGTGAGTACCCCAGAGACACCTCTGAAAACTAAGAACACTTCATTTCCCAGATCCTGCTATTTCACTCTTAGAATGGAAATGCCTGGTCTTTCAGAGCACTCTACTGTGGGCACTGACCACATAATTATTTTCTTAGACTTGAAACTTGGGAATGACTGTGTGGTTTGAAGAAATGCGATATTAGATGGAGTCAGATGACCCAGCCTGCCTTTTAGAATACATCTTAGAACACTGTCAAATTAATGCCCATGAGTTAAGCCAGTATTTGATAGATGGATTTCAAATAATTCATTACCTTCTTTACGCCTATCTACAGTCTCTCCAGCAGTGTTAGACCAAGCATGTTGTCTTCATTTTGTGGTTCCTTTAAAAATAGAATGAATCTCTTAGGACCCTACTGAAGAGTCATCCTGTTGGAGGAAGATGAACTGAAGAAGCCTTGCACATTGCTTTGGCCACTCCCTCTAGTCAGGACTTCCCATTTTCCTAGCCAGGAAGCTTAGATTTTATAGCCTTTTTAGCCCCTAGATAGCGAGTCAGCTCCACATCACCCTGCAGAAATGTTCTCAGACTTACTCACAGCCCTTCATTTAATGAGGTGCAAGGCAAACACCTCCAGTGTCAGTGCTGTAGTTTACAACAGGAACGAACACAGTTGCCGCTCACTGAGGTTGTTTCTTCCCAACAGGTTCTTAGCATGCTAATCAACGCAGCCTACAAGCCTGGGAGGGTGTTAAGAGAATTACAGTTGGTAGAAGATCCACACTGGAATTTTCAGGAGGAGACACTGAAGGCAAAGTAAGTGTTTTCAATTCTGGGAAAAAGAATTTGTACTGTTGCACCCACTGTTTTGAAAATTACCAGTCCTTGTTTTGACATTGCTTGGGGAAATAGATGCAAACCTGCTCCGTTGTTTTGTTGCACCTCTGCCTCTGTGTACTACAGGTAGACTTATTGGCTGAGTTTGTTTCTGTCATCTCCGTGACAGACTAACTGATGAAGACGACTTAACAGAGCAAGGATTTGCTTACTTTGCCTCCTGGTTTTAAGGTATTCAATCCACGGTCACTCAGCTCCGTGTTTTTGGACTGTGTGGCAGAGGCTGTTCACGTCATGGTGGACAGGAAGCACAGAGCGAAGAAGGGATAGAAGGACTAGGACCCTCAAAGTACACTCTCAGTGAGAGTGCTTTCACCAAGTAGAGCCATCATCAGGGGACCACGTGTTTAATTAATGGGCCTGTGAGGGATGTTTCATATTCAAATCATAACGCTGACCAGGTTTCCATAAGCCTTGGGATTCCCAATATGAACTAGAGATTTGCTTAATATTTTTGTGCATGTGTATGTATGTATGTGTGTGTGTGCATTTGTGTATGAACAGGAGCACACGTGTGCAGATACACCCTCAGATGGCATTCTCCAGGAGCTGACCACCTTGGTTTTTTTGAGACAGGGTTTTTCATTGTCCCGAAGCTCGAAGCTCGCGGAGTAGACTAGACTGGCTGGCCAACAGGCCCCAGGGATGCTCTTGTCTCTGGCTCCCCAGCCTTAGGGCTACAAGCATCCATCAGTTCATCTGCCTTCATTAGATGGGTTCTGGGGCTGAAATTCAGGTTCCTGGGGAGGTAAGGCAAGCACTTTACCACCTGAGCTTCTCCCCACCCTTTAACTAATAATATTTCTGAAATGCAAAACTTTCAGAATCATAATTTACTATGTTTGTGAATCAAATTATTCATTAAAAAGGAGGAAAAAATACGGACATGCTGTCTCCTTCCATCATTACATTACATTCATTAACAGCTCTGAGTATCGGACATTGTCATTATGTTACGTTCATTAACAGCTCTGAGTAGTGGGTGTTGTCATTACATTACGTTCATTAACAGCTCTGAGTAGTGGATGTTGTCCCACGTTCACACCAAACACAAGCTCTCTCTGCTTTGGCATTCGAAATGTTTGATGATAGAAGAACTGTTACATCTCTTTCACTTGAGTTAAATAAAATGGCAATGAACTCTGGGTTCAAATGTAGTTGGCTGACTTTCTTCTTTTATTTGGAGATTGGAAATAGGCTACTTAGAAAGGTGATATTTTTGCTTTGCTTTGCATTTCTTTTTTCTTTTTTTCTTTTCCTTCTTTATTTGATGGAACTGGAATTTTTCAAACTCTGGGCCTCTAACATGCTAGGCAACCCAGCCAGTCCCCACCCCCCCCCCCCCAATTTTTTTTGAGACCAAAGCTCCCTAAAAAACCCAGGCCCGCCCTGACTTTATAATGGACACAGGGTGGCCCTGAGATTTTCTCGCTCCTA